TTATGGCCCCCATAGGTTACAGAAACAAATTATTTAATTTGCCTCCAGCCCGACTCGAACTGTTGACCTTGTCTGTAAGGTTTGGGAGCTTAACCAATAAGCTATGGGACCCTAACCCTTTTTTATATATATTTAAATAGTATATTATATAACTATTATATAAGAATATTTTGATTAGCTATTGAAAGTATAACATAGTTATGTAACCTAAGATTATACAAAAATACTTTAGATTATACAAAAAAATTATACAAGAAAGTAATACAAATTTATTTTCTTCTTCTATATGAATATCTAATTCTTTTACACAAACCTCTAATTTCTCTATACAAATTCTAAATATTTTAAATACAAAACATGTTCTCTAGTTTTCTTTCACAAACTAATAAATAAATATAAATATAATAAGTAATATTTTCTCTATATTATCTAGTATAATCACCTATTTCACTCAGCATGATTACCTACTTCTTCTATACAAATTTTTCTTCTTTTCTTGCCAAATATTACTTATTTACTATGTATTGTATATTCTCTCTTTAGATAAAAAGATATATAAAGGATACCTTTTCTTCTTTCTGCCAATTCTTAAGTTTCTATATTTTATCTTAGACTCTGTTATCTTTATACTCTTCATATCTTGTAAAGTTGATATTTTCTTTCTAAAATAATTCCTACAAAATTATTACTGTGTTTTTGTATAAAATAAAATTATTCTATATACTGTTACTATCTTGAACTATTTGCCTCTTGCTGTGTAGTTAAATGAACAGCTATATTTTCACCTTATGTATATTTACAAAAGTCAATTACTACACTGGGTAACCTTGTTGCATAGCTGTATTGGTTTAAGAAGACTACAGCTTTGTAACACTATGATCTGCACTATGTTTGTAAATTAACCGATAGCGATAGGACACATCCCAATATACTACGTTCCTCGACTGCGTCGCGCAGCTACTCTAATTAAATATATAATATGTACGTACATATATTGTAAAAATGGAAAATGCTCCGGAATATATATGGGGTTATCTTACGTACTACGTACGTATAAACACTATACTAAAACTACTCAAACTACTCTAACGGAACCCTAATACAGTAATAATGGTAAGGCTTCGGTTGAGGCGTGAAAAGACTTGGTCCGAGTAATTAGGATCTGTTAGAGCTCTAGACTATATCACGGATCTCTTAATATGGAGTCACAGGATTTAATTACTAATTCCTATCGCTATATGGATTTTACTTATCGGAAAAGCGAAGCACTTTACGATCTTGAACTCTAATCAAATTATCCTTTATTCCAAGCGAAATTTTTATATACGTACGTAGTAATTAGATAATAAGAATATCAATATATATATATATATATATATATATAGTAAGATATTAATCTTTGTTATTTACGTATCTAAATTAGGCCATACAAACTTAATAAATCGGTTCTCATAACCCGGCCGGGTCAAATTTTACAAAACTTTAAAAAAAAATTTTAAGTATATTTACTATCCGGGTGGGTTTTCTAAAAAATTTGTAAAAAAATTTTATATGTTTTTTATATATAAAATTTTTTGAAAATAAAATTAAAAGCCGGGTTGCCGGGCCACTTTCAAAACTTTTATGTTATGAGAACCGATTTATTAAGTTTGAATGGCCTTATAATAAAAATTTATTATTTTTATAGCACGTGGGTATTGGAAGACGATCTATTGGCTAGTTTTGTTAATAAAAATTGTATGCTATGTAAACAAAATGATGGCGCAAAATTTGGCGGTACCGTGATCTCCGAGTCCGGAAAGTTATTTCGTCGAACATCAATCTAAAGAGTAAATTTTCCGTGCACTTTCCATTCCGGTTTGACTCGGAGATCACGGTATCGCCAAATTTTTCTTATCACTCTTAAGGATTCATAATTTTCCGGGATTCTTGACACAATCCTCATTTAACACGCGAAGGTAATGATGCTTTATTACTTTAATATTATGACAAAAATAATTTATATAATAGCCAGTATATGTTCTCAGAAAATCCGGTTATTAGATTAATTCAACTTTATTATTACAATATTAGGCAGCATGAAATCAAGATAAAATACTTTTATACTTCCAGTTCATTTTTATCTTCGCTTTTTCCCATTTCTTTCGCTTCTTCCGTTTTTTCTATTTCATCAGTTTTTCCCATTGCATCAGTTTTTTCCATTTCATCAGTTTTTCCCATTGCATCAGTTTTTTCCATTTCATCAGTTTTTTCCGTTTCATCAGTTTTTTCCATTTCATCAGTTTTTTCCATTTCACCAGATTTTTCCGTTTCATCAGATTTTTCCATTCCATCCGTCTCATCAGTTTTTCCCGTCTCATCAGATTTTTCCATTTCATCCATTTTTTCAGTTTCATTCATTTTTTCAGTTTCTCCCATCTCATCAGTTTTTTCTATTTCATCCATCTTTTCAGTTTCATTCATTTTTTCAGGTTCTTCTGTCTCATCAGTTTTTTTAGCTGCATTTGTTTTTTCCATTCCTTCCATTTCTCCTGTATTTTCTGTTTCACCTATTTCCATGGATTCTCTATCAGTTTCAGGTTCTTCATCTTGATTGAATGACTTTTTCTCTAAGACATATTGCAAATATTCAAAAATTGATTGAATAGCAGTGGCAGCAGCATATTCATGCTTGGAATGTCCTTTATGTGTTCGTAGCAAGTCAATACTATGATCGCTTCGTCACAAAAAAAATAAAAATAAAAGGAAGGATATTTTACCAGCTGAAATACACGGACACCCATAATAAGTCCTTGCATTTGGAACCTTCTTGTCCAAAGGTAGTTCAGATTTGATCCAATTAATTACATTCTTGTCGAACCACCTTTTAGAATGTGAAGGAATCATTGAAACACTGTGTACGCTGTCCGCAAGTGCGACGCCGGCAACACGAGATTTGAATTCATCAGCTAAATGGAGATTTTTAATGTTAGATTGTTAATAGACATAGTTCGCAATTAGGTTGGGGACACGGAAAATCATCACATGGGCCATGAAAACATCACATATAACTAGTTGTTTCAATATGACGATTTAGCATCATTCCGTCGTGTCTAAAGATCTGAGATCACACTTCGTGCCCAACCCTATTCATAATGAAAAATCATTGCTTTACCAAATTCATCCAATAAACAGGTGATATTAATTCCACCAAAGCTATAGCCCATGACCAAAATCTTTTCCGCTTTAGCTTTACTAAGGAATACAAACGTAAAAAATTGATGTAAAAATGATTCAAAGACCTGATCAAATATAATATATAATAATCATGATAATAAGATTACTGTACGTGACAAAATTATTCCATACGTAAATACAATGTTTTTGCGGTGATTCTGAGCCTCGTACGTATACACGTTTAATGACCTTAAAAATAAATATCCCTGAGTAAAAATGCCGTTACTGGAGAAGTTCTTTTAAGATATTTAACTCACTTCTCCATCTTTTATTACGGAATTAAAATTTTCATTAGGATTGAACACTATGATACCCCAATTCAAATCTTGCGCCTTTTGAATATATGGATACATAGTTCCAAGCTTTATATAGCGTATAATAAATGTTAAATCAAAAAAATCATTATAATATTCTTTTTAGCAAATAGGGAAACATGTAAAATTGACAATAAACAAAGTAAACACGTAAAGTAACAGAAATAATAACCTCGAGACAATCGTTAATAATCACTAGTTAAATAATTGTATATCGGAATAAGTTCAAATAAAAATTAAAGTTCATCAAGAAAGAAGACCGATCACAAAACCTCTTCGTGCCCATTGCCCAGGACGTACAACACCGCTTCCCTGAATAATCAGTAATAAGTTTTGACATTCAAGAGCATCCTCACTATTTCAATGGCAAAATATCATTCAATAAAAAACAATTTTTTTATGCATTTATTATATAATATATATACACCTGAGATAGATTCTACTCTTAAGCGTCTCTTCTTCATCTTCTTCGTTATCATCATCATCAGATCTCAATGGAATCATTTGTCTCCTGAGATTGTACTTTGACACCAGTTCATTTTCGATGTATTCACCGATGGCCTCTTCAAATATATTAAAAATGAATAATTGAATCATATAAATTATCAAATTTTGGCTTTATAATATCCTTGAAAAGTAAAACATAAATAACCGTACCACCCAATCTCTCATAACGAGTTTGGTTGTAGGTGTTATCGTCGGGCTTAATATAAAATTCGAACCTTTCGTCTAAAAAGAAAGATCCGCTCAAAGTATTTATAAAGTGTAATATGCTAAAAGATAAAAAAACTTTTAAGAAAGTAACACGTCTATAACAAACTTGTTTTAATATCCCTTAATTGTCCCTCTTCGTTAAAGTGATAACCAAACCCTTCAATACTTTTAGGAAACTCGTCTTTTATTTCAGTCTGAATCATTTTCCGAAATTTCTTAAGAATATTCTCGCTATCCACCAAATTTATGTAGTAGAATTTTCAAGTCGTGATACCTCGTGACTCATAATGAAAAGGCATTTGTACAAAGCATCGGAGAGAGATTTCCGAGTTAATTCTAAGATTAAATTAGTTTGTTAAAATGAGATTAAACTTTTACTTTGTTTAAAAGATAAAAATACGTATATACATATATATTTATTTATTAGACACAGATATCAAAAAAGTCTTTTGGACTAAACTATTTTATCTGTACAAACATACTGTATATTTTTTCCAGAATACGTATATATTTATTAAAATGTATATATAATACCGCATATGTTTAAAATAAGGCAGAAATCACAGTCGCAAGCTTATACGTAAGATTCTGCTGTATGCAGGGTTTCAAAATTCAAAATGATATTCTGATTTCATTTCTCCGATTTATAATTTAATATATATAGTAAAATCAATATTTAAAAAACCCTATATACTTATTTAATAAATTAAGCTAGTTTTTTCGTTAGTAACCGGGTAGATTTTTTAAAAAGCTGACCGGCCGGACAATTCGATTTTTGGTCAGATGGTGAAATGTAATGCTGAAGAGTATTTTTTTACCAACATTGGAAATATAATTAAAATTTGGAGTATGTCAATCATTGCTATGTAGCAATCATGGTTTTGTCACATGTTTTCAGTATGAATAGAAAAGAAAAATTTTTATAGCAAATTTCTATAATTTAGTATTTTCACAATAATCCGGTACTCTTTATAACACTTCAACGATATGGGTATATTGAAAAACTTCCGTCGTTTTTAGAAAAACTGTTTATTAAACACGAACGATATAAAATATGTTTAACATTTAACATTAGCACCTATTCATGTTATTTTATATTTGGAGCCGCTTTTATACTTCTTGTCAAGGTTTATTAGTTGACAAGAACGCACATACATTCAAACGAAAAAAATTTAACATTGATATTATTGTTATAACGATCTGTCAAACAATCATTAAGATAACTTTTATTAAATTAGCCGAAAAATCATTCGTCAGCTTAAGCTAGCCGGCTTGAGCTAACTTATTTGAGCTGGCTTGAGCCATCAGCTCGAGCCGGTCGGCTTGGCTTTTTGAGTCAAGCCGGGCTGGCTCAAGCCGATCCCATTCCTAAGTTAGCTAGTCTGTTTCAGCGGCTTCAGGATCACTATCCTCATCACCCGCAACTTCAGCATTATCTCTTTCAGCATTAGCCATAAGTACGGCAAGTTCTTTGTCATCGGCTTCACTCACAGCTTTCGGCTAAATTATAAAAATAAAAATTTGATAAACGTATAGAATATAAAAATAAAAATTTGATAAACGTATAGAAAATAAAATATGAATAAATTTATACTAACCTTCATTTTAACTGCCAGATTTCCGCCAGATTTCTCGATAGCATCTTGTATTGTAGAAATGGCTTTTTCTAGCATCTCAATTCCTAAAGTTTTATCCAATGCATTAGTGATCATGACATATAATGGTGGGGCGACTAGTTTGACCTAATATACAAGGTTCACATAACTAAATTTTAGAATGACAGAATAATTTATGGAAATCTAAACTTAAATTTAACTTAAATGAAAGATTAAATTACCTTAATTGACATATCGTCGGTCTCACACGCTTCACCAGCTCTAAGGGCCGTTCTGATGGCATCGATACCGTCATAACCAAAGCAGGTTACCTCGATATCTATGGAGTAACAATATTTAAATCGAGAAGAAACGACTAAAGATTATAAAAATTTTAATATACCAGCACGAATTTTATTCGGTTGTGGAGTTAACCTTCGTTTAATATTATTTAGTAATTCATCACTGATTTCTTTAGATATCTCGATGCCTTCAAAAATCTTTTCTGGTTCGCTATATTAGAGAAAAAAAATTAAAATGATTTAAAAAATATTTTGATAAATGGTAAAAACAAAGAAAGATCTTAAATTTACGTGATCGCCAATTTAAACGCTTCATATGCATGGCCATATTTTTTGTACAATGGCCATCCAATTTGTTTATACAGATCCTCGAGAACAAGATTTTGCTTTTCAGCAACATGACGCATTATGCTATGAACCTAAAAAAAAATTATAAATTAAACAAACAATACCTTTATAAAAAGATTGATTTATCAAAAAAAATAAAAAAAAATAAACTAAACTGCTTTCGACTTATTAAATTTCTCTTCGGCTTTCGCGACATCCTCGGGCGAAACTCGACGCTTTGACAAGTCAATATAACCTTATAAAGCCATGATCGCATAAATGCAAAGGGTCATTAAAATTTTACGTATAAAAAAAAAAAATAAAAAACATAAAAAATATAACAGTAACCTTACCCTTTTCTTTGTCGACTCTTAATACAACTACCACTTCATTTCTTCCAACCCTAATTAATTTTTGTATACTACGAATACGCCTTCTAGACAGCTCAGATAAAAGGATCATACCCTCAATGTTATCGTATTCCAGCTAATCGAGGCGTAATTTCAAAAAAACTTTTAGAAAAGGTCCTTTATAAATGCTGCTATAAATCATTTAACTATACCAATTTAACATAGGCACCCATTTCAGCGATCTGACGAACGTTAACCATAACGAGGTCGTCAACCTCAGGGTATTTTGCCTCGTACATGCGGCATTGAAATTGCTGTGGATTTGACATTGTATTTCTGCGTTGAATAACAAGTAAATCGTTACGTGTGCATCATACATATTTTCAAAAAATGTCATGTTATACAATGACGTAATGTAACCCAAGATCTACTGTATCTATTTGATCACCATAATTCGCAACGAAAAAAATTAAAGAAATTTTTCCATACACAATATTATTTTAATATATATAACTTTGTTAAAGTTTGTATAGTTTTATTGTATATGTTTCTATTTGCTTCTAACTATGATATAAACATGTACAATTATAAGACATTATATGTTTTAATAAAACACTTGTCAGAAAGAAAAAAAAAAAAAAGAAAAAAGAAATGTACGTCATATTTAATTTTGGTTATTATCCCAAATAAAGTAGAAATCCAGATTTCCAAACCCAAACTATGTAGTAGTAATATCATAATTCAAAAAAAGTTTGAGTTACGACCGTAGTAGAAAACTTTTAAAGTCTATTTCGTTTGATTTTTAGGATTTTCAGCTCTATTAATAAAAAAAAAATAAAAAATAAATTAATCATAAAAAATAAAAAATAAACTTTATATATGTAAAAGTAAAACTTACGAGTCTTTCCAACGTTGAGCGGCCATTTTGAAAGCTTCTTTATGATTTAGGGTAGGATTTTCAGTCTTGATTTTGCCAAGTTCACTCTTCATAAATTTATTGTAAGGGGAAAGCTTCTTGGCTATCATTTTTAAATATATAAGCAAAAGATAATAAAACATGAATATCACGATCATAACAGTAACTATTATTATTATTTACCACCTCCAGTTGATTTCTTTGTGGTCTTTTCTTTGGCCATTTTAATGATTTATTTGTGTTTATTATAAGTTATAACAGTGTTGAATATATTTTATTATTTGAGTACGAAATCTATGATGTCTTCTTAATGAAACAATGCGATTATTATTAATTCGGAAGAAAAGAGAAAACAGTAATTAAAAGCAATTGAATGTTGAAGGCAGTCCTTATATAATGGTTCAAGCTGTCGCGTCAATGTAACTGATGCTTTTTGATATTATTTTGATTATAAAAGGCTTGCGCGTTATTGAATGTCACGATGATCAAAAAAGGTATCAAAACACTAAACTCGCGTTTGCTCTCGCGTCATCTTAGTGAATCAGCTGATCTGCCCCCAAATTGAACGGCCAATCATACCCTAACTATAATTAGTTGTTTGTATACATAGTGACTGTGGTTCAACTCGTAACTCGCTAATTGAACTCAGCAAAGTGTTCGAATCACATGATTTAATTATATCGATATATCGAGTTGATATCGATATACCTAACCAGAGTAACGAACGTGATTTAAAAAAATGATATTGTTTAATATATGAGTAGTGGGGCCATTTTTGCCAAAGCTTGCAATTGAACAGATTAGATACATATATAAAAATTGCATAAATTGAATA